CAGCATGATGCATACCTGTACCCTCTTCCGTGATCTTGCCTTCAACCTCAATTTTCATCTCATAATCCTTTCGCTTGAGCTGGAATATTTTAGTCTTTACCACATTGGAGACACAGCCTTGAATGTCCGCCTGAGCCAGAGACCAAAGAGGAAATTACCATGGAAATTCAGGTCCCTGTACAATTCAGGTCCGTGTGAAACAGGAACAGATACCCCAGCACCCAAGACATTTGCCTACTGCTTAGTTTGCCTTAATCCCATCCTCTTATTGGCTTGATCCGGCCTGACTTCCTCTTTTCCCTTCTTCCTCAACAAACCAATCAAGGCATCTCTGGTCCCCAGTGACGTATCCAACATGCTGCCCTCTCTGATGCACTTCACCCCAAATTCTCCAAGGTACACACCTGGTTCCCTGATTGTTCCCATTAGTGTGGTAAATCTCATTGTGTCTTTTATCCACCCTTGGAATCCTCTCTCTTTCTCTATGCACATTCTTTCTCTCTTCCTCCTTCTTTTTCTTTCTCTTTCTTTTTCTCCAACTATCTCGGTCTAACCTAGGTCTATTTTCTCTCTTACTTTCTTCTCCTTCATATTCTCCCTCTCTCTCTTTATTGCTCTACCCTCTTCTCTCTACCTCCTTGCCCTGTCTCTCTCTTTTTTCTTTCTCTTGAGTTCTCTCTCTCTTCCGGATCCTACAGTTCCCTCTTGCTTTCTCCTCTGCTCTGCTCCTGCTCCCCTCTCCATCTCAATCCCGTTCACTGATACAAAAACCTCTCAGCGTCTTCTCTTTCCCAGCTAGAAGAAATACCCATTCGGGGTGAATCCTGATCTGACTGATGTCAATGGGAGTTTTGCCATTGATTTCAATGGGGCCAGGATTTCACCCGAAGGGTTTTTCTTCATAATTTATACCCCCCAGCCCTGGCCTCACCTCCTTCTAACCAATACCTCCCTCCTGTGAGACAGAGCCCAACCCAGAACACAGAATCCCAGCTGAGGTCTAACAATCCCCTTTGACAGACACAGATCGCCCTCCTCAAGACAGTTGCCTCCTGCCTATGGGATGGGCCTTGGACTCACCTGTCTGGTGAATTCCTCACACACAGCCTCGGCCTCTCTTCCATAGCAGTGTGACCTGGACTGGGAGAATCTCCGGCACACACGGACATTCACCAGGCCGGGGACAGGGGTCCCATAGGTGTATCTGTAACCAGAGAGGGGTTAAAGAGACACAAGGTGCTTAGACAGGGAGACAGAGTCAGTCAGAAGAGGCCTTTTGGGGCCCTTTATACCATTGCCCCTGAGAACTCTGTTGCTGGTTTCCTAATGTCTATTCTCTGGAGCTTGGTCTAGTCCTGTTTTTCAGTGACTCAAGTGATGGGACTCCAGCCATTTCCCGTGGGAGATTATTCCATTACCCAGCAGGCCTGCCCCATTAGGAAATGTTGCCTGATACTCAGGCTCCTCTCCTCCTTAATCAGTTGAGTTTCCCTTCCCCCAGCTCCCACCCATTTGTCCACACCTTTCTGGTATGGAAGAGCCCAGACCTGCAGACAATATTCCAGGTGCAGTCTCCTCAGAGCTGTGGGGCCCAGAGCTGAACAGTGTCTTCCAGGTGGGGTC